TGTCATGGCATATACCATACAACATTGTGAGCCAAATGTCAAAAATAATTTACTACTTTAGATATCTACATAATCATTGTATATACACACAATTGAATCAATGTTAAAATTATATTGAAATAGTATAATAATAACATTGTTTATTATTTTCGAATCTATAATGTAATAAAAACTTGGCAGACATGGATGAAAAGAAATGTGATAAGAAAGTTACAGTAGGATATTTCATATTTGTGTGTGTGTGTGTGTGTGTGTGTGTGTGTGTGTGTGTTATCATGTACTATTCCCTTCTTTTATGCTAGTAAAATGTTTATTAACATTTTACTAGTCCTGTCGAGAAAAACCTACAGTTTTAAAACGAATTCCGAATTATTAAAAAAAGTTTTCGCAGCAAAGATACTCTCGGTGGTTTGCCATTGTCATTCCGAGGTGAAAACGATCAAAATAAAATTTGATATGTTCTGGATAGAATTTGAATCTAGCTTTTTGGCACAGAAAGCAGACACACAATTCTTTGTGGTACGATTGTCACACAATGTAGGAATTTTACATCAATTGGATTTATATCAATATTGGATAGAATTAACAAGGATCGATTGGTCGTATCGTATAAACTAGTACACATATCTACTAGTGCGCATTTAAATTACTTACCTGAGAAAAAGAAATGTACATCAGTTCTATAGACCCTCTTCTAATTCTGTAATACCTCCGCTGGAAAGTAAAGGATCATTCATATTGTAACATTAAACCAGAGCTATTTTTCCCACGCGCCACTCAGTATAAGATCCAAGAAACAAAAGGAAATAAGTCAAAACGATTGTGTTCACATTGTTGTAATCGAGAAAAAGGAATTTCATAAGTTATGGAATGATATTCAATTGCATTCATGTCGTTATTCGAATATATTTCCAAATATAATTATTTAAGAACATAATACAGTAATGTGGTATAAGTTCAGATTTAATTTTTTTATATAAATAATTGATATTTTTTACGATAAAAGATATTCAGTTTAATTTATTATCAGGTTTTTATTACGGCATGAGGCAAAAATCTGATCGCTTCGGGAGAAGACTCTTATCTGGCTGCTCGGAAAATCTCCAGAGGTGGAAACGAAGTGAAGAGAGAGCCGGGGACTAGGGAGGGAGAAGGGATGAAGCACAGGAACATAATCTCCCAGCAGTATTCCCGGACCCTCTGCCAGGGTAGCGAGAGCTCATTAGAAGTCGCCCTTTGAAAATCGTCCTGCTACGAGCAGCTGCCCTACGGCACAGTAACGGACGTTTTCTGGTGTGTTGGAACTTTTAACTCGACAATTTTAAACAGGAATCTCTAGGATTTTTCGATTTTCCAAAAACTTCTCGATTGTACAGACCAAGAAATTTTTAAAGTTGACAAAAAGGTCACAAGATTGATAGCTCTTTCAACGTATTCAATATATTTCTTGTTACGAAAAAAGATCCTGAAATTTGTGACAAAGTATTACAAAAAATAGGAAATCTTTTAAAGGCCTTAGAATTGGCGTATCAAATGGAAGATTTGAAAGGTTTTAAATAAATGTATCGTTTAAATTCTTTGACAAAATAGATGGAGAAATTTTGGAATAAAAGGAATTACTGAATAAAGTAATTTGTATTTTCCAATAAAATAAATAAAAATATTAATTTTACTGAATAATAAATTTTTGCTTGGCATTTATAATACTCTAATTATTTTCAATTTTTATAAATATAAAATTTTTACTTTAACACAAAATTATCTCACTCGTTATTCACTGTATACGTTACATGTATAATATGTAATTTATTTTCATATTCTCTTTTAATTATACCCATTTTTTTCTGTATATTGCTAGTTTCAAAAATCCTAACGTAGTTTGATGCTGTTCGAAAAATCGGAGGGACACGTTGTATATTTCTCCATCCAATACGCCCCTGGCGTTTCGCTTTAGTGCTTCGTACATCCTGCAGGGACGTCAAAGGGACGACAAAGAGTCGGTCGGCCGTGAGCCTTGAAGGGCGGCAGCCCTACGAAGGGAAACCGGGTTTTATGCTGCCGCTGCGTTCTCTCAATGGGGCTCCATGGAGTACTCTAAAAAATTCAAGCCTGAACTGCTGGTCTTGTTGAAGCATATACCGAGTGAACCGTATAAAGATTTTGCCGAGTTTTTAAATCCCAACTTAATCGAATATCCTCACATTCACAAAGACTTCGATCTATAAGTAAAAATTAATATTTTTGAAAAATATATCAACTGCTCGTAGTAGCTTTCCACTAAAAGAAAAGAAATATTTTATATATAAATCAATATTTTTAAGGAATGTATTAATAGCATTGCAAAGATTTATGCATGAAGAGAAACCTTCAAGAAATATATTAAACCATTATTAATAATTTTGCGTTCGAGTAAATAAAATTTAATATCAGAGAAGTATATAGACGAGATGAGACCTTAATCAATATTTCGAGGAATATATTTTATCGGCGATAAACAAAACATGAAAGTAAAATAATACTACACATCTATATAAAGTGTGTATATAAATTAATATTAAATTCGGATATTTCCTTCCAATATATTGCCTCGTTTTCTAAATCAATTAATTTTTCGTTCAAACAGCTTACGTGCTCCCGTCCAATAATCTCATTTAATTAACATCGGATTAAACAATTTGTTTTCTTTCTTCCTAAATTATAGTATCATTACACACGCCTTTATAGACACAGTAAAATTGAGTTAATCGAAATGAAAATTAATTACGTTATCGCGCGAGAATAAATCTACATATGAAATTAAAAAAGAAAAACGTAAAATAACGATAATTATACACACATATCTTTGCTAGAAATATGTAGTCTGACGTTTTAAGCTTAATGTACCCGAAAGGGTACATTGTTTGATTGATTAATCAAACTCATTTTTGTATAACGACGTTCAGTCGATGTTAACGCAGTTCGCCGACTTCGTTTTTACGCTAAAATTCCTGTTTATAATTATTTATTGGCGCGGAAGGACGTCGCTCTGTGCTCGCGCTGTGCCCGCTTCGTTCCCTCGTTTCGTTTCGTTCAGTGACCCTCGGAGGCCGCGATCGATATGTACCAGCTATACGCCAGAGTTTCAATTATATAAACGCTGAGCTCTCCCGTATCGGTATGACGTGATGCAGAGCAGAGTATGCACTGCGCTATCAGCAACAATTAATACGTCTATTTACGTATTCGGTATTGCTCTGGCGATATATCTGCAGCATTTAATATTTATGGGGTAGAATATTGAAACCGCTATAAATAATTACAGGTAGCGCGTATTATCGCACTTCATTGATATTGAACATCATGTATGTGTTTCATATAATAACTCTCTATAACACGCTCATTTCATATTATAATATAACGTCAATCGTCGATTCGTAAACGTTTAGTAAACAGCTGCAGCTAGAATTCCTGATCTCGTCACGGTTCTAATGCTGTTGTTTTTCTTACATTTACTCGTATGTATGTTCAATTATTTTTATCGATGAACAGAAAAATTGTATTTAACGTCGATTAACAATATTTCTTTAACAATCAGTGCCTACATTTACTAAATATATGAATGGAAGAGTTTATGTGTCTTCGATAAAAACTTATCAGAAATGTTTTTATACAAATATGATAATGTGATCATTAAATATCACTACTTTTGATTATTGCGACAACTTATGTCATATTTATCAACTCTTCCGCATTTCTTATCAGTGCATTCTGATGATGAAACAGCGTAATGATTATTTTACGAGAAAACACATACCGTTAAGTCCTTTGCAAAAATATATATAATCTATACGTTTTATGAAGTTCATATTTTGCAGAAATTATTAAAATATATTAAATTTTAATAAATATTTGTTTGAAAATGGTACTAGTTAAATATTTATCAAATATATTTTTGATACAAGAATCATTAATTTGATTTAACTCGTTATTTTTTTATTGAATAAATATTTATTTACTACAAGCAAATGTTTAGTTAATAGTATTGGAACAAATACGTATTAAGATTTAGTAAATTTTGTTTTATACTCAAAAAAGTGATCTTGCAGTAATAGCAAAAGTTATAATATAACGTTATTAATTATGAAAAATAGCTAAAATAGATAAATTTCTAGCAAGTATTGCGATATTGGATGTGTATTGCATCTAATCATATAGATGACAGAGATAGAATTCAGATTTGTGCTATAAATTCTATGCGTATGATACATAATTTTCTATCAGATACAAAAAACAACTATAGTTCTAGCTGAAGCAGCAAAATATTTTTTTGTATGTAGTATGTCATATTATGAATTGAAAGATTAATATAACGCAAATTTAAGAAGCAAAAGTTGTAACATAATACAAATTACATTATAACAAAGATTAACACATTATATATAATTGCAAAATATATATAATTTATATTATAACAATATACTTCGTGTTATATAAAATTATTAGCAAAAAAAAGATATTTAACGACTCTCTGAAAATGACTCTCTCTCTCTCTCTATATATATATATATATATAAAACGTTTGGGAAATCTAAGAAAGCTGTATAATAGACGAGTGCTTCGCAACAATTTTGAGCGTAAAAAATCCACATTTGAAAAATGCCAAAGTGTTCATGAAGAAACCGGACACTCGGGCACTTCTACTTCTACATTCTACCACGTGTTGCTTCATCTCCGCACGCACGCATGCACGTGGCGCGTACGTCCGAAAAAAATGAGCAGCGCGACAGACATGTGCATGCTGCATACTCATACTTACGTACGTCATACGTATACACATATGCGCGCGTTTACATGCATAAGTATACCATTGACCGGGATATCCTCTATCGCCTGTCTCGGGATGAATGAACCGTTACGTCATGCACTTGTACTCACTGGTCCCCTTCCGCAACCCTCCTCCTCTTTCTCGTCCTCTTCCTCCTCCACCTCGTCCTTCTCTCGTAACCCTCTCACCCTCTTGCCGCGGTCCCGTCTATCTCTCTTTTAGCAGCTTGCATTATACAAGGTGCAGCATAAGTAATGGCCTCGCTTGAAATGGATCGATTTGATCGTCACATAATTTTCCTCCTACTATACTTTCTTACCTTCTCTTCGGAGGAGGATGAATTGAGATGAATCGGTAAGAAGTATAGGATGTTCCCAAGGATTTTTACGTGCATGTAGACCTTTGGATTCTTAAACTCGCTGGCAAGAAGCATCTAGAATTTTTAAATTTGTAATTTCTCAATATATTTTCTGATTTTTAATTTTTAATTTTTTTTATTCCTAAATCTACCGTTTTTGAGACTACTTTTAATTCTTAATAGATTTTGATGTCTTAATATTACAAGAGTTCTTTATTCGTAAGTTACTACTTATTATACTACTTGTAAACTTCCAAATCTCCGGGTATACACAGGTTTCTTTTCGTTTGTGCATCTTCCTCTGTCTACGTCTCTAAAATTGAGAGAGATCGTGTGTGCGTCATATCGAGTTACGTGCAACAAACACCGAGCGCCTCCTCTCCTTGCTCCTCCCTCAGCCCGGCATCCTTCCACGTTTATCGATTAGCATGGCCGAGCACACGCCGAAGCGAACTATAGATTCGACAGAGGTCGATGTATCGCTTAGGCGGCTCAGACACTCAGCAGACGTGTCGACTAATAAAACAGCGGGAGGGGTGCAGAGCGGTCGACGATAGAGGAAAAGGAGGGAGCTGGAAATGATGTTGTACTACTGATACACTTTCGTCCCACGCAGGTGGATCTTTCACAACATGAAGTTGATTGACGATGATCACTTCGACAACCGTGTCGTCGAATTCTTTTATCCTTGGCCCGAAAAGCTAAATTTTCTAGTCGAAATAAATATATCCCATGCTTATTGTATGTACGTTTGTATTATAGATATATCTAAGTATGCCTTTTATAATCTTTGCAATTTCTGATAATCTTATTTTCTATCCAATTCTTATTATATATCTTTAACTCTTATTTTTTTGCCTATTAATTTTTATTTCTAAATTTTTTATTTGTAATAGAGATTTGTTATAAGATTTTTAAATTTTAGATATAAATCTTTTTATTGTCTTGTTTTTGTAATATAAATCCTTCGTTAAATCCATGAATTTTTATCAACGATTTATATATATATTACTTAATTTTTATCAATAATTTATATTACTTAATTTTTATAAATGTCAGTTCTATGGAATATATCATGAACTTATAAATTATTTAAATAAATCCTATTATAATTATTATATATAGGACGTTTAAAAATTATGAAATGTTTCTCTTCCTCTAAATAATTAAAAATTACAATCTGATAAATTATATATTATTATTAATTCAGGATTGTCGACATAATAAACTTACAAACCAGAAATATACACTTGCTTTTAATGTAAAAAATGTTTAATTACTGTCGTCAAATTTTTCAGTTTTAATTGATCTAACACATCTTGTACAAACACGAATGATTATCGTTGAATAATATTATATATCTAATACAATTATATTTACAATGTCACATATGTGGCGTCTCCATGCAGTGTACTCCATCTCTTTTGTCCGTTATCCTTCTAGCATGGCTTCTCTGGGTTCTCGTCCAACTTCCTTCAAGTTGGGATACAACTTCGCTTTAAGACCATCACTACTAACTCTACCATGAAAATCCGGTTTCCTCTCCTTTGGAGCGCTGCGTTGCAACCAGATGTCCAGGAGACTCCTCGACCCAGCAATATTACTCTTATGCAACTGTTTGGTTAGGGGTATCGATACGCTCGCCGGCGGCGACATCGGCGAATCTGTTGTTGCTCTGATCACGCTGACTCTCGCAGTTCCGTCTTCTTTGCCAAAGCTATAATAAGATTGTTTAGATTTCTAAAGTTCAATAAACTTTTAATACTCAAACTCTTCAATTTATATATATATATATATATA